TATAAAATTGAAGTAATATTTTTTGCCATCTTGAGACGTAAACTCTTGCCAAGCATCATTTGGATTTGTAGGACCACCAGGGAAACCAGGAGGCATCATAAACGGAGCTAAAAAGAGAAAAAATAAAAAGGTGAAATCCACTAATAATTGTTAAATCTTAAAAATAAATACTCACGCATTCCACCAGGAGGTCCAGCGCCATGATGTTGTTGCATCTGTTGTTCTGAAAAAGAACAAAATATATAAAAATAACCTTCGTTACAAAAATTTTAAAAATCCTAAAGTTAAAGTATCATAAAAACAGATTGTTTTTGAAAAGAATGGAACTAGTTTAAACAAAATTTAGAAAATGTTAATGTTCTATTAAAAACTCTTTTATGATACAACAACAAAACTTATAAAAACTCAAATAAATTTTCAAGTAAAAGAATAATAAGTCAGGGAAATAATAAAGATGAAGAATATGTTAAATCTCAAAAAATATTTTTAATTTTCAAAATTATCCCAAAAAAGACAAAATTTCGATTCAAATAATTTTAGAAAAAAATTTGTCCTAAAAACTTAAAAAAACATTTTCATTAAAGCTTAAGTCTACAAAATTCTTTACAGTGCACTATATTACTGTGACTGTGCCGGTGTGAGAAGTAAAAGGCCCATCTCTGGATTTGTTGAGAATGTTAAAAGGACGAAAGAAGCAGATTCGTCCTCCCCTCTTCTTCACCAGCCTATTATCTGTTGCAATAAAGATCACCAAAATTAAAGATAAGTGAAAAAAGTAGTAAATTGTCTAATTTAAGCAAAAAATAATTTAAACCTATTTCAAAAAATTATTTTTCAATTCTACTCCTAATGAGCTTTATTGTTAAAACTCAATGTTCTTACAAGGGAACATTCGAACTGTGACCAAAAACCGCTCCAAAAGACGAAAACTTAAATTTTCAAACATGCTCTACAAGATGGTATGTTCCCTTGTTAACATATTTAGCTGTTAATAAGGGTGTTGACCTTACACGTGTTGCGACATGCAAAACAAAGGTACGCGAAAAGGAATACCTACCCTAATTCCTTAAATTATTTTTGCAAAATTTTGGGGTTAACCTGCAATTGTCGCAACATTTCCCGAATAACTAATATAATTATATATCATACACCTTTTGTAATAACTTACATTGAAAACCTATAATTGATTGAAATTTTATATAAAAAGGATTGATCCCATTCACCCTCCCTCCCTCACCCCACCCAAATTCATTTAAAAAACATCAAAATAAATTAAACAAGTCACACAACCAAGGATCTCGTGAATTTTCAGTTCAAAACAAAGATACGCAAAAAGAACTGTGCCGGTGCGACTCTTCATCAGAAAACTTAAATTTTGGAAAAAAAAGTGAAATATCCATCGAGATCCAAGGTTGAATAACTTTAACACCACAAACTATAAAATCCCAACTCCATTTAGTTCACTTAATTCTTATAATTAAAGCAGATTATTCTTAAAAATTTAAATAAGAGTAGCCTTATTAACAAGTTACAGACTATTAACTTCAAAAAAATAATAGTTTAGATAAAATATAGTTTTTAATTGGTAAAGAGGATGACAACAAACATCCACGATGGAAAAAAGTTATAAAAAATAACCAACCTTTTTCCTCACGCTGAGATTGATCAACTGCTTTTTGAATCTCATCTTGTTGCATAACAACGGCATTAGAGGCGTCAGGACGTTCCCAGACAGTTTGACGAGTTTCAGATTGATAAAAATATGATTTACCTTCAGCCGATTTTGTCTCAATCCAAAGCTCCTTTTCGACAGAAATTCCCAAAATCTACAAAAAAATATTAAAAATGATCATTCAAGTCACTAGACAACCTTTTTGAGTCGCTCATTTTGGCTAACGGGTTGTTGCTGCGCTTGTTGTGGTTGTGAAGGCGGCTGACCATTTTGCTGATGTCCATTTTGTGGAGGTTGATGCATCTGTGGTCTCATCCCATAAGGCATCGGCGGCATTCCCATTGGTGGTCTAAAACCAGGCGGCATCGGTCCTCCTGGATAGCCTCCTTGGGGAAACGGCGGTCTGCCACCACCACCCATTGGCGGTCGAGGTGGTCCTCCTTGTCCTGGTCCCATGTTCGGCGGTCCCATATTCTGCGGTGGCCCGCCCACTGAAATTATTAAATAAAAGGTTGATTAATTTTATATTATTTTATCTATAGATTTCTGCAGACTTTTGCGGACAAATTTAATATTTTTAAAGATGCTAACGTAAAAAAGGGAAAAATTTGTCCACAAAAGTTAGCAAAATCTAGCTAAATATAAGGATAATAAAGAATACTAAACCAAAAACCACCAACACACAAACCTATATTCATTGAAGAAAACGGTGGATATTGACCATGAACTAAAATATGTTTTCCAAAAAATTAAATTTATGGATTCCGAAAAGGAAAGAGAAAAATGGACAAATAGATAGTTTAATCCGACACCACTTTCAGGACACAAGAATGCACAAAAACAAAGATATTCAGGAATAACAACGAAACTCTAACAATGTTTCCTATAACAAAATCCAACAAATTTAAAGAAACCAAAGCACAATAGAAAAGAAAAAACCCAAAAAATAAATAAACAAACATCTCGGCGGTCCTTGATGGCCAAAATAATTATGAGGCGGTCCATCACCATAATGAGGCCCTTGCATTTGATAATTCGGAGGCATCGGTCGAAAATTCGGAGGCGGTGGACGTAACTGGTTGAGCGGCTGATATTGTCCAGGCGGCGGTCCTCCTCCATTCGGCGGCGGGAAAGAATTTCCAGGCATTGGATAACGATGTCTTGGAGGTTGCAAAAATCCAACACGAGGAACAAAATTTGGGCTAAATAAAAAATTAACATTAAAGAAATACTATAGACAGAGTCGTAAAAAGAAAAATTATCGAATGACAAATTTAAAAATCAATAAATTGTGAATTTAAGGGAAAGCACTCAAGAGATTTATTGGAATCTAAGGGAAAGTAGCCAAATAAAAGAAAAAAACCTTTGTTCATGCGGCTTTTGCTGTTGTTGTGTTTGCTGAGAATTTGTGTCCTTTTCTAAATTTCCTTGGTCTTGATCCTCTTGTTGTTGAGATTGTTCGTCACTCATAATAAAAATTGTATCTATAGCAATATTACTAGAAAAGATTGAAATTAGTATGAAATTAAATTAATTAAAAAACATAAACGTTGCTGTAAAACTCAATATTCAATTGCCACAGAAAATCTTCTATTCAAGAATTAATTAATTAGGTCATCCAACCCAAAAAATTACCATATCCCCGATTAGGCTAATCAATAATCTCGACTACGGCGGGCTACCCTACAACTCATCGAATCCTTAACTCATCGAATCCTCAACTCATCGAATCGGCCAAAAACACTCAACTCATCGAATCCTTAACTCATCGAATCCTCAACTCATCGAATCGACCAAAAACGATCAACTCATCGAATTTTTCCAAAAGGGGACGTTTGAGTCCCCGTGTTTATTTTTTAGATTTTTTATTGTTTTGTTTATTTTTTTTTGTTTTCTTCTGGGGTTTCAACTAATTTTGTTAATTAGTTGATCGGGCACTCATCCAAGTTTATCCGGCCAGTGAAAACATTATCAGAACATTATCTCATTCCTGAAAACATTATCTCATTCCTAATAAATTATGCTGGAGATTTTACCGGGTAAAACCGGACCAAATTAGTCCAGTAGACCCCGATTATGCCTAAAAGCCCTTTTTCCTAGCCTCCATAGCAGCAAAAAATTTTTTCAACGAAGATTCAGTTAGCCCTTTCGGGAGAAAAATAAAAACAGGGGACTCAAACGTCCCCTTTTGGAAAAATTCGATGAGTTGATCGTTTTTGGCCGATTCGATGAGTTGAGGATTCGATGAGTTAAGGATTCGATGAGTTGAGTGTTTTTGGCCGATTCTATGAGTTGAGGAATTTTAGCCGATTCGATGAGTTGAGCGTTTTTGGTCGATTCGATGAGTTAAGGATTCGATGAGTTGAGCGGGCACGCTACGGCGTAAAATGAAAGACAACGCTTTAAAGTTTCATTAGAGAAAAATACAAAAGGACTGTTGAGTGCCACTATTTAAATACCGTTAAGTATTACGGACGTTTGATCTCTACAATTTAAACGGCATGTCCATTTTCTGTACTTTATAAAACTTTTTTGAAAAAGATTTAGTGAATAAATTATTAAATTTGTGAAATACTATTTTGATTTATCCACTGAAGAGATTGGACGTAAAAAATTGGTGAAAAATTATGAATCACTTAACTAAAATTTAGAAATTTATGGATAAAATTATAAAAATAGAAAAATTAATTTTTAAAAATTCTGATTTAAATAAAATCTAAATTAATTATTGGCTTAAAAGAATTGTTTTTTACAATTTCATCTAATTATTAACACTAGGGATATTTAAAAATTAGGTGAAAATGGAAAGCAATATTTGGAGAGAACTACATACATATTAGAGATCGAGCTGAACCTGGACCTTGGTCCAGGTTTTCTTTTTTTTCCAGGTTTTCCAGGTTTTCTTTTCTTGTTTTCTTTTTTTTCTTTTTCTTTTCTTGTCTGGGTTTTCTTGTACCCAGAGTCCAAGCCCAGGCATTTTTTGACCTTCCTGGGTTTTCCGGGGTTTGGTTTTTTTCTGGACTACAGGCCAAGGATCCGGCCCAGGACAATAAATCAAACCCCGGAGTCCAGGAACAGGTCCAGGCTTTTCAAAAATCTCGATTTCTAATACATATGTACCGACATACAGTGCCTAATTTTTGCCCTAAATATTTTACAGCTATAATAGACCTATACATATGTATGTATACAATTTTAAAACCTTAATTATTTTTTAACAATTATTTTTATTTTACACAATTTATTCTCTTCACATTTTAAAGTAAATATTAAACAAATATAAATTTATTTTTATATAGTAGATCTCGTCATTTTTTTCCAATTATTTTTAACTATATTGCTCATCCAAAATCATTCGATTTATTGAATAAGGACGTTGAAAATGAAGTAAATTAGCTGCTAAAGCGGCAGCAGCTAATGATGAACGTTCTGAGGGGGGCATATTTTGCCTTTAAAAAAATTAAAATTAATAAAATATATTGGACAAAAAATAACAATATTTTTGAATATCTTGTAAAAATTTTGTCAAAATTAGAAAAACAATAAAAATTATATATTTTTTTTAAGTTTTCATTTTTAATTTAATTTTTTTTCTATTTTTAGTATATTTCTAAATCTAAGAAAAAAATTTCAAAAATAGAAGGAAATTGAAATCTAAAATATATGCAAAAGAAGAAAGAAAACTTTAATGAAGCCAAAAATGAAACTTAAAAAACCCATCTCTTTTCAGATAAAAAAGGAAGTATTTAGAAAAACCAAGCTAAAGGTGGAGTGGAACATAGAGGAGACGATGGACGTTAGGGAGAGCCTCAATTGCCAGTGTTTGCTACAATTTAAAGACCGAATTTTGGGGGTCGAACGAGAAAAGTAAAGCATTGTATATATTTAGTAAAATCTCGAAAAAGTCGAGACTAGGTAGGAGTTATTGATTCCGTTTAGCTTTATGTATCATCCCCGATATTGCCCCAATTATCAGAATTACTTCTGATAGAGGTAATTCCACAATGTGGAAATTAAATTTAATTTTAATGTCAATTCTTTTATTTACAAATAAAAAAATATTTTTTGAAGTTTCATTTTTGGGTTAATCAAAAATACTCTTTCTCGTTTCTTTCTAAATTTGATTACCGTAAAAAGAATTTGTTTCTTATTAAATTTTATCTTATTTTAGCGTTATTTTTCCTCTAGTTTGAGAATCAAAAGATTATTTCGAAAAATAGTTATTTATAGATAATTTAGGTATATTTTTTTATTTTTTGTTTCCTTCTAAAAATCATTTTAATTTAATATTTGAATTATTATTTGAATTTATTACCTTTAAAATATTTAATTTAATTTTTTTGAAATTATCTTAAATTTCCCTAAATTTCCACCACATTTTCAAATTATAATTTAAAAATCTTTTTTTAATTTAATTATTTTTTAATTATTTTGTTTTACTTAAAATATAAAATATTTTTTCTTACATTCCACGTTTTAACATGTTATTAGGTGTTAATTGTTGTTGATTGTGTTGTTGTTGTTCTGCTAATAAATGTCCAATTAATTCCTCAGCAGAAGCATCCCCAGCAGTTAGCCCCATATGGCTAAGTGCTCTAGCTGAGGGAATAAGTGATCTTTTTGCTGACATTTCATCCCAAGCATAAAAACGTTTTTTCTAGAAAATTTTGGGAATATTTTTGGGGTAAACTATGTATTTTTATGATCGGAGTTTTTAAAAGGTTTTTTGTTAAGAAATATATTACTATAAATTTATATTTTAAGTTTAAACACAATCTCTTAGAAATTCCTTATAATCAAACCTTATCTCTTTGGGGCTGAAAATCGTAACGTATATTGGAGATATTACACAGATGTCTGCGTTTATTAATCTGATTTAAAGAAACGCACTTTAATCGACACCTATTTTGGAATTACCTAAAAGTGAGGTTCGACTAGAGGATCCTTCCTTAACATCTTTCCCCGTTTGGGAATCTACTAACGCTGAGTGGTATTCTCGATTTTCTCATTATTATTTCTTCTTTATCCTTGCAAATTCAATTTTGCGTCCCTTAAAATTTTTAACTTTCTTACCATTTGATGTTCTAACTGCTCTCTTTTTAACTTAAAAAGGGCAATATCATCATTATTAGCCAAAAGTACTGGCTGAGCCGAGCATTGACAGACAAAGAAAATTAAAACAAAAATAATTCCCATAAAATATATTAAATTTTGATTAAATGGAATTGAACATCTTTTTGGTGTTTTTGGAGTATTTTTAATAGAAGTTTTGTTTGAGAATTTATTTGAGGCGTTTGGCATAGCTGTCTGTGGTGGCGGAAATGTGTAGTTTGAATATTAAAAGCTATAATATATTTAAATTAAATTAATTGCGAATTAATAAGGAAAGTATAGCTTTAGAAATAACAAATAGAAATTTGAAAAATCTATGAAGTTTGGGATATTTTGGAAGAGGAAGTTGAAATTAAATTGTCGAGAGTTTAAATAAATCTTTGGAATTATTTAAGCAATAGATTTGAACGTAAATATTTACTTGATCTTTTGTAGTGTATATTAATAACTCCAACTATACATATTCCAAAAATATTATAGATTAAGTTATAAATAGGGTTGTCGATTCGGAACCTGGACCGACCTAAAGAACCGAGCAAATCTCTTCTGTTCGGTTTATCAGAGACAGAGGATTTCTGACTTCTTGGCCAGAAACATTTTCGCTTGCGGCTAACAAATAAAACAAAAATAATTGACAGGAATTTAAATATATGTAGGATATTAAAAAGATTTTTTGATAAAAACTTTTTATGTAAAAATTAATTAATTATTCATAAAAATGTTGCAATTAGAAGCATGGAAATAGGCAATCAACAGGAATATTTTAAATAATTTATTTTTATTTTATTCTTTATTTCCTTGAATTAAATAATCCAAAAATAAAGTCAATCCTCGTCATAAGATATCCAATTTAGGGTTAAAAAATTAAGGATACAACACTCAATACATAATTTATCAAACGTTCATTATATTTTTAAGCACTTGCGGGATGAATAGTGAGTAGGGGGTTGTCGGTTCGGAACCGAACCGAAGAACCGAGATTTTTCGGTTCGGTCCCGGATATTCGAAGATTCTCCAAGAACCGACAACCCTAGTAGTGTGTATGGGAAAAAAACTAGGGTAGAGAATAATTTAAAAAATTAGAAAAAAATTCCTTCATAACACTCAATACCCGACACGGATAGTTTCGAGTGTTACGTGTCTTCTCAAAGGATACAAATCACGACAGGGATCCATTGTGGGAGAAGCTTTGTTCAAATCCAGATAAATATATTTATATTTTATATATCACCAATTACTATCTATCCTGTAGTTCGTTAAAAATTATTTTTTAAAATAAAAGTACATAATACACAAAATGTTCTCTTAAAATTTCTTGAGATTTTTTAAAAATAAAATAAGGAAATAATAATTTTTATAAAAGAATTTTCTTTTTGTCTATTATTTATTTATTCGCTTGATTTAATAAAATTGCTTTTTGAAAGTTAAAAGTGGCTAGTCATGTGTTTTTGCATATTTTTTATTTATTTTTTGAAAAAAAGGGGAAGTAAATCGCGCGTAAAAACTTTTTTTTTGTTTTCTCCTGTGGGGGTGTTTTTTGAAGAAGAAGAAGATGTTACGAATATTTTTTAAAAAATATTTTTTAATAATAAAATTGTTTTGGGCATTTTTAAAGTGAGAATAAATGGTTGAATACCCCTTTTGTTTTTAAAAGGACATTTTATCCCATGTTGACATTTCGTCCCATTCTTTGACATTTTCTAGTTAAAAACATCCCTAAAAATATTTACATACATTTCCATAATGAAATTTTTGCGCGAGCTTTAAATAAAAACTCTTTTTTAGAATTGTGGCAAATAGCGCTCCAATGAGCACAATTGGTTATTTTTTGATAAATAAATAAATTATAGTAGTTGGATGGATATTTTTTGTGTTATAAAGGGAGAGAGAGATATGTAGTAATAATAAAAGATATGTAGTACTAATAATAATATTATAGCAATTGTTTTAGAAAATTATTAATAAAGATTGGAAATATTAGAGAATTTGTGGATATAGTGTAGTGTACCGGTGGTAAAAGTTCGGGATGTGACATATGTCATTCGATTCGTCTCGACGAGCTGAGTCGAATGGTACTACTCCCTACTTTAGGAAATGATTCTGGGCCGAGTTATAGGTCCCGAAAAATTGAAAAACCAAAGGGTGGAGTAAGCTCGATTTTGGGGTGAAAAATTCGAATATGCAAATAATAGCTCATTCGAAAGAGCTCGTCGAGCTGAGTCGAATGACATCAAAATCAGCCTGATTGTAAAAGTTTGGACAAAGTTACAATAGAAAAATAAACAACATAAACCTATGGAGCGTCGGCGAGGCGCTTGTGCAAAACCCCGCGCTTCGCGCGGGGTTTTGCGGCACGCGCCTCGCGGGGAGTCTACGGGCGCTGGGTCTGGGCTCGTAACATAAACCTAGTCCCATCTCCCTTGCTCTGGATGTAATTGGGGCCTCCGTAGCAGCAAAAATCTCCAAAGATGCCATAGGTAAGGAGCTAAAACAAACGAGCATAACTTTGTCAAATCAAGTCAGATTTCGTTGATTTTGGTGTCATTCGACTCAGCTCGACGAGCTCTTTCGAATGAGCTATTATTTGCATATTCGAATTTTTCACCCCAAAATCGAGCTTACTCCCCCCTTTGGTTTTTCAATTTTTCGGGACCTATAACTCGGTCCAGAATCATTTCCTAAAATAGTGAGTGGTACCATTCGACTCAGCTCGTCGAGACGAATCGAATGACATATGTCACATCCCGAACTTTTACCACCGGTACACTACACTACAGCCGAATTTGTGAGGGGCCGGCACCAGCCAGGGCTTACGTGTCTTTCTCACATGAACACAAATCACGACACGGATCCATTGTGGGAGAAGCTTTAAATAACAGATCCAGATTAATATATTTATATTTTAGATAATTCTGAAATGCCCGGAGCCAGAGCCACAAAAGCTCAATAATAGTCAGTCACCCCCAGTCACTCAAACCTTTTCCCATCCAAAAACTTTCAAGAGAATTTTAATAAATAATAAGTAAATATATTTAAAAATATTTGTAAGATAAGTGAATATTTTTGGCAGAGATTACCTAGAAAAATTAATATTTTTAGAAATACCTACATATTTATTTGGAGATTAAATAGAATCTTATTTTAAATAAAGCCTTACAAATTAACAATTTATTTTCAAAAATTTATACAAAATCTAAATATATTTTTGGTAAAGAAAAATATTTTTACTAAAAAATTTTTATGATGTTTTATATTTATTTTATTTAAATACCAAAGTATTTTTAGGTATTTTTAAAAAGAATTTTTAAATAAAAATAGTCACAATTAAAGCTTTATTTTATTTTTGAATTGAGAACAAAATTAAAAGAAAAATTTAAAAAAAAAATATTTTTTTTGAAAATTTTTGGAGAATTCTTTTTTCCTTAAATATTTAAATATTCTAAATTATTTAAAAATTAAGGAGGAAGATATATTTTGGAAAGAAAAAAGAAAATTATTTTTAGTTTTTTTATTTTTTTTAATTAAAAAAAGAAATAAAAAATGGGAAATAAATTAAGTAATAAATTTAGGTATTTTTATGATATAATTTTGGAAGGAGAAACTAAATTTTATTAAGTTTTAATAATTAAAATACGGTAATAATTTAAATAAAATTTTATGTTAATCTCTTTCCGATTAATTAATTTTTGGATTATATCCTTTAAAATAAATCTTGTGTTCATTATAAGACTAGTTTAGTCTAATAAAAGTTTAGACGTCAAAGAAAGACAAAATTCTGACCAAGTAGTCTTGATCTATTTGAGGGTATCACATTTTGTCTGTCAATAAGTCCCTCTTTATTTTAAGCTACTCCGTCTTGTAATAAACTGTCAGAATTTTTAATTTTTAATATTTATTTTAGATTTTTTTTGAATCTAAGAACAAATTAAAAACAAAAAGATGGATGGCTTTTTCTGGATTCTTATTTATTAAATAACTAATTTAAGTCAATACCTGTCTAATATCTTAACCCTTTAATCTCTATAAATATACTTATTTTATCTAAAAAATTAAATTTTTGAATAAAAAAATATTTAATAATAAGTAAATGGTTGGTTATTCTCTAAAAGTTTTATATAGTGAATAAAAATAATTTTTCTGTTTTGTTTTATTTTTCTTTGTTTTTTGTGTATTTTTTGTTTAAGTACAAAAAAATAAAATTATTTAAATTATTTGAATAATTTAAAGAAAAAACAAAAAAGAATTTTCTGCCAAAATAAATAAAAACAAAACAATAATAATTTGAATAAATAATTATTTTGTTTTTTTAAAAAGTTATTATTCTTTAAAAACACAAAAATATTTTTAAATGTCTGTAATTATTTGGGTGTATTTTGAAATTAAAAAACAAAACAAATTTTGCTAAAAAATTAAACAAAAATGTTTTTTTAAGAAAATTTAAAAATACTTCTAGTTTATTAATTAAATATAAATTAGATAACTAATTAATTAACACTTAATTCTTAAATTTTTGTGTTTTTTGTGTTTATATTTAATGGAAGTTTTGTATTTTGTTTAGTTATTTTTTCTTATATTTACCTAACAGTTTTTTTTGTAATTTTGAATATTTTTATATTAATTTCGTTCTTAAATATCTTTTTAAGGATAAAAAATAAAGAATATTTTAAATTAAGGGCATCGTTTAAAAGCTCACTCTCCCCAAATTTTGTAGGTAAAATCGAGGAGTATTTGGGGATATATCAGGTATCCTGTTTCTGTACATAAAAAATAAATTTTAGATTTCGGGATGGAAGGATCCTCTTTTGTAGCTATTACCTAATTGTGAATTACTTAATTTCAGGTAATTTATTTTTAAATATTTTTTGTTGTGCCTGTGTTAATTTAAAATAATTTTATTGTTTAATTAAAATCTTTAATTAATTACAAGGTGATAAACAAAAAAAATATTTACATTTTTTATTAAAAAGTCGAAAAAAACAAAAAAAAATATTTTAGTAAATTATTTAATGTGTCTGTCTCACTCTCCATTTAATGTCTAAGTAGATTCTCGAAGTTTTCGTGTAAATATTCCTTTTAAAACAAAATCAGAGACGAATTAATTATTCTGACAAAATAAATAAATTAATTCTTCTTCAATAATGACGCAAATGGAGAAAATAAATATAAATGAAAAAATCTCTTAAAAGGTGTATAATATTTTAAAATGAGGGTCTAATTAAC